GGCGCCTGGGCGCCAGGCCCGCAGAGACTTCCACACCTCCGGGCCCCGCGCGGGCCGGGCGGCGGGGCGGCCTCCTGCTGATCTGCGCCGGCCCTGGGTCCGCGCATCAGTCTTCCCTCCCGCGGGAGCCGCATGGCCATGGACCGCCGCGAGTCGGGATCTGGGGCTCTGACGGGCCAAGGGTCCTTCGACGGCGGCGCTCTGCTGGGCCGGTGCTGGCGTGGGCTGCGCAGTGCGCGATCCCAGCGGAGCCTCGCGGGGACTCGGTGCTTCATCCCCGTTGTAAAGACAAGGAAGTTGGGCCGCGGACGGGTTCGGGAACGCGCCCAGGGTCTCCCTTGGCAAATGGCAAAGCTGGCATCGCAAGTTAGGCCCTGCGTTCCGGAGTCTCGGGAGTAAGTTCTGGGCCAGCTGCCCAGCAGGGATCCAGGAGCAGGTGGACCTCGCCATTACACGCGGGTGTTTTATGGGCGAGGTGGGCGGGCTAGCACGCTTGCTGTCATGTCCTTGACAGCGCGAAGCTAATATATTTCCTGACAGTTCACTCCAACATGGCTTTAAAGGGAAGGCAAATGGAATTCTGCTCAGGTGAATCCGGTTCTGAAGTATTTTTTTTTTCCTCTCAAAATTGTGATAGATGCCTGAGCAACTAGTTTAACAATTCCCAGATTTTAACAGTTTAGGTTGCAGAGTTTTCTTTTTCAATGAGATTAACTGAGGAAGTCGGCCACTCTTCTCTACAGGGATCAGGGCGATCCTAGGAATAAGTACTTGCACTCCGTTTCCCTTAGCAATTCATTGCAGCCAGACACACTAAGCAACAAGTCAGGGTGGTTGAAATGTGCTCAACATGTCAGTGATGCAGTTTGTGTCTTTAAATGTTTTCCTATGTGTTGTGTTAATTTTGAGTTAATGCACTGTTTTTGTTGATGGGTCTGATTTTGTTTTGTGCTTATTCTTTACTTTTTCTCCTCCTGTTCTAGATCTGCCCTTTAAATAATTGTATAGTGTTTAAGGACTAGGAGGGACAGGTGGCTGTTTCTCTAGAACTTATGGTTAGATTTCCCCAGCCCCTTAGAAATTCATTAGACAGTGAAGGTCAGAGCCTGCCCTTTGCTGGGAGGGTGCTGCTCAGCTTTATTTGAGAGAAGCCTGCTCAGATGCTTTCTGTGTCAGGTCTAAAGTTGCAAACTTGCCTGGTGGGGATGTGGGTGCTTTGTTATTTTCTTGCAACATTTCTGGTCTTCTTTCCTCTTTTAAAAGAAAGTTATCTGGCCCTGGCTGGTGTGGCTCAGTTGGTTGGAGTGTCATCCCATGTAACAAAAGATGGCAGGTTCAATCCCCGGTCAAGGCATGTGCCAGAGGCAACTGATTGATATTTCTCTCTCAAGTTGGTGTTTCTCTCTCTCTCTCTCTCTCTCTCTCTCTCTCTCTCTCTCTCCCCCTTCCTTTCTCTCTAAAATAAGTAAAAACATATCCTCAGATGAGAATAAAAAAAACAAATAAAATAAAGTTATCTGAAGTCTACAAAAAGAAGTATAAAACTGGCTTTAAGGGCTGACAAGTAAAGGGATTGGAAACCTTGAGGTTGGATTTGGGTTTATCTCGGGACTGAACAAATATGTTGGGGTTTCCCACTTCTCTTTGCAACTAGATACGTGAGTTGGCTTTTTTTGAAGGAGCCTGTTGATCTCCTCCCTTAAAAAGCGTTCCCTTAAATCTATGCAAGCTTTTTTGTCTGTTTGCATTTAATAAGAACAGATTAGCTGCTCTTAAACACTTTTTGAATAATTTATTGTGCACCTACTTTGTCCTGGCTGCATGCAGTTTGCCTGGGACACAGAGTTGCACAAAGCAGCTTCCTACTAGCTCCAGACTCACGGAGAAACAGGCCTGTGCTCTGTGAGGACTGTGAAAGGGGCCCCAAGGGCAGGAGAGGTCATATTGGGTACATTTTTAAAGAGTGCAAGAGCCTCAGGTGAACAGCCAGATGGGAAACAAGGGAATGTGTGTTTGCAACCCTTCGAGAGTTTGGGAAGTGAATCGGAGTGGAGAGTGGAGACTGGAAAGAGAAGTCTTGTCAGACCTGCAGGGGACAGCTGCTTTATCCCCACCACCTAGGCTGGACACAGCGCATTCTTTATTTAAAGAATCTTTAGCCCACCTGTGTGAACAAGTGCAAAGGGGAGACTAGAGGCATTTGTATGAGGAGCACCTCCCTGGGCCAGGTGCCCCAAGTACCTATCTGCAAAGGAGTTAATAGATGTGCAGCACTGAGCACAGTGCTGGTCATAAGACAGAAAACATTAGTCACTCTCGGCTGCATTGAAAACAGTTGCACAGCCCTGGCCAGGTGGCTCAGTTGGAGCACCATCCCGACACCAAAAAGGTTGCAGGTTTGATTCCTAGTCAAGGTACGTACCTAGGTTGTGGGTTCGATCCCTGGTTAGGGTGCATACAGGGGGCAACTGATGGATGTTTTTCTCTCCGGTGTTGATGTTTCTGTTTCTCTCTCTTCCTCTTCTCTAAACGAATCGTCGGGTGAGGATTAAAAAAACCCAGACAAAATAGCCAGCTGAACAAAAGTGATTGTCTTTGGGTTGCCATTCATGCGCAGCTCCCCTGGCAGCTGAGCCACTCGATGTTGGCTTTCATGCAGGGAGGGCCTGCTCTGGACCAGCAGGCTGAGTTCACGGTTAGGCTCGTGCACCCTACCTAGTGCTGCAGCAGAAGACAGCTTGTAAGCTGCTCTCAGTCCAGGGCCATTTGAACTAAAATGAAGACCCAGGCCAACAACTGCCCTATGGGAATGCTCTGGTCAACTGGACGTGAGAACTTGACCTCATCACCTCCTGGCCCTTAGGGTTTTTATTGCAGGATGTCCAGAGTTGGATCATGGTGTCATTGCCACCTTAGCACAGGCACAGCCTGCCCCGCTCCTGAAGCAGCTTCTCCGGGCAGAGTGAGGTCAAGTGGCTGCCCTGTGCCCAGGTCAAGCTGCTAAGTGCCCAGTGAGGAGGAGCAGGCGTGGCCCTGGGCATAGTGGGCTGGGGACCAGCCTGAGCTCAGCCTCTGTCCATCAGGACCAGGCGTTCAGAGCTACCTGTAGGTTGCTGTCCCCTTCGTGTGGGATATTGGTTAGCCAGTGAGTTCCTGTCTGCTGCTGGGGCACAGAGAGGGTGAGGTCAGCCAGCAAGTCATGGTCATGTGTGTGGGCAGTAGGAAGTGGACAGTTTTAAGAACTTATAGAAGGAAATCTGAGCCAGAAACAGATGCTCTGGGGCGGGGGCTGGGTATTTACAATGGTTGTAAGTGCAGGACATTTCCGGGGACCTTTGCTATGGGAAGCTGTGCCTGAGAATTCCCAGTGGGTGTTTAGAATCATTCTGGGGATCTTACTTCTCTGGGAACTGGGGTTACCACATGAGACTGTGCCTTGCCACAGACAACATCTCAGCATGCCAGGGAGGTGGGGGCTTGCAGGGAAGCTGCGGGCCTGTCATTTGTCATCTGGCCCCTTGAGTTCTGCTAATCATAAGTGAGCTCCTGCCTTTCTCTAGGTGGTTCCCACCACCAGGGCATCCCCTCCAGGAAGTCCTCTGCCTCAGTGTCTTTGTCCTCTTGTCCTTCCTCTTTATCCACTGACTCTCAGCCCCACTTTGTAGGGTCCCAACTGGCCACTCTGCTTCCTCCCCAAGGGCTCCTGTCCAGGACCAGTGTGGATGGGACAGCCACTGCCCTCAGGAAGCTCACAGTCTGGAGCGGCAGACAGAACCCATGGCCTGACAGTGCAGAGAGCTCAGGAACAAGAGTGACCCCAGGCCTAGCCAGAGGCCTTGGGAGGCACCCCACACCCCCTCCGCAGAGTTCCCACCCCATCTGCCCCTCCCCTGCACAACTTGCTCCTTTTCTTCCTTTAGGTCTCAGCCTCAGTGCTCCTCCTCATCCCCCCATTGAGCTCAAGTCTCATAGTTTACACTTACTTGTTTCTGGGAAACTTGTTTTCTTTGACTTGAGCCCCTAGCTGTAGCGGTCTTGCGTGCTCAGTGCTGAGCATGGAGCCTGGAGGATGTTAGAATGCAGAGCAGCAGAATAGGAAGCAAACAACCTTTAAGTTGTTTTTAAATTTTGTTTTAATTGTGGTAAAAACATATAACAGAGTTTATCATATTAACTATTTTTTTAATATATTTTGTTGATTTTTTACAGAGAGGAAGGGAGAGGGATAGAGAGTTAGAAACATCGATGAGAGAGAAACATCGATCAGCTGCCTCCTGCACGTCCCCCACTGGGGATGTGCCCGCAACCAAGGTACATGCCCTTGACCGGAATCGAACCTGGGACCCTTGAGTCCGCAGGCCGACGCTCTATCCACTGAGCCAAACCGGTCAGGGCCATATTAACCATTTTTAAGTGTACAGTTGAGTGGTGTTAAGTACATTCACATTGTTGCACAACCATCACCACCTTCATCCCCAAAACTCTTCATCTTGCAAAACTGAAACTGTGCCCATTAAACACTAACTTCCCCTTCCCCCTGCCTCTGGCAACCGCCATTCTACTTTCTCTCTCTATGAATTTGACTATTCCAGGGACCTCAAATAAGGAGAATCACACAGTGTTTGTTTTTTTTTGTGACCAGCTACTTTCTCCTACTATAATGTCATCGAGGTTCATCCATGTTATAGCATATTGTAGCATTTCCTTCCTTTTTAAGGCTGAATAATATTCCATTGTATGTATATACTATACCTGGTTCACCCATTCATCATCAATAGACATTTGGGTTGCTTCCACATCTCAGTTATTATGCATAATGCTATTATGAGTATGAGTGTACAAGTACTTCTTTGAGATCCTGCTTTTAATTCTTTTGGGTATATATACAAAGGTGGAATTGCTGCATCTTATGATAGTCCTATTTTTAACTTTTTGAGGAACTTTCATAATGTTTTCCATAGTGCCTGCACCATTTTGCATTCACACCCACAGTGCACCAGCTTCCAACTTATCATCCTCACCAACACTTGTTATTCTGTTTGGGTTTTTATTCTGGCCAAACTCACGGGTGTGAGGTGGTATCATTGTAGTTTTCTTTTATTAATATATTTTTACTGATTTCAGAGAGGAAGGGAGGAGAGAGAGATAGATCAGTGAAAGAGAATCATTGATCGGTTGCCTCCTGCATGCTCCCAACTAGGGATCGAGCCCACAACCCCGGCATGTGCCCTAACCAGGAAGTCATGGTTTGAACTGTGACCTCCTTGTTCATAGGTCGACATCCAACCACTGAGCAACCCTGGCCAGGCTCATTGCAGTTTTGATTTGCCTTTCCCTAGTGATTAGTGATGTTGAGCATATTTTCATGTGCTTATTGGCCATTTGTATGCCTTTGGAGAAATATTTATTCAAGTCCTCTGTCCATTTTTTAAGCAGATTAGGTGTGTGGGTTGTTTTTTTTTGTTTTGTTATTGAGTTGTACAAGTCCTTTATATATTCTGGATATTAACCCCTTATCAAATCTATAATTTTTAAAATAATTATGGACTTACAGGACATTGAAAGACAGTATAGAGAGGGCCTGCATACCTTCCCCCCAGTTTCATCCAGTGGTTCCATCTTTCATTGTGCAATACAGAAACCCGTGTTGACATCGGCACAGTGCGTGTATGTGGTTCTCTGCTATTAGGCCCTGTGTAGATTTGTGTGAGCACACCACTGCAGTCAGGGTACAGAGCATGCCCGTTACCATGCACAGCCCTTTGTCCTACTCTTACAGTCACCCCTCCCCCAATGATTAGTTCTCATCCCTGCAGCCTGACATTTTGAGAGTGTCAGGTCAGTGGAACCGCACAGTATGTAAATCTTTCACTCAGATCCTGTCCTGGAAGATTGAAGCCGGGCTATTGTGCATGTCTGTAGTTAGAAGAATCAGTATTTAATTTAACTTGTGTTTAAGGAAAGAGAAGAAAACAGATGCAACACCCAATAAATTATTGAACTTTGAGTAAATGGCCTTTTTACCACAAAAGATAGTTCCTAAAAGATGCCCATAAAATTCAGAAAAGAGATGATGAAAACATGAAGGTGTGGAGAAGGGAGAGAGCCCAGCCCAAGGCAGCGGCAGGGCTCAGCCCCTCCCGCTCATCAGCCCTCCTGGGTCCACACGGTCCCGCAGGGTGCTGTACCTGCTCATCTGGCATCAAGGCCAGGTGCAGAGGACCTTTGTCACCTGAACGAGTGAGTCCTGCCCCTTCTTTAGGCTGCGTGTGAGGTCACAGCCTGGCCCCAGAAACGTTTAGATGTGAAAGGAAATGCTTTATGGGGTTCAACTCTGGGCTGCCTTGGTGTGGTGGGAAGGACTGCCTGATGTAATTGAGCTGCTTTACGATCAGTGACAAATAAGATAAAGTGGTCAGCCTGCCTCTTTCTGTGGGCTCCATCTGTCAGGTTGGATGGCAAATCGGTTTCCCATTTTCCTTTCACAGTCCGACTCACGCTGCCTGGGCATTGCTCAGCTCGGCTTGTCCGTCTTTGTGCCCTGTCTGCCTGGCCGGTCTGCATGTGTGGGCATGTCCCCAAGGAAGTGTATTTGGTTGGACTTGCAGCTTGGGCGTGCTTCCAGATGACGTGTGTCCTGTCTGGAGCGTGGGGACTGCAGCCAGTGCCTGGCCACCTCCTGTTTAGAGTTCACTCTTAGCTGGGATCCCTTTCTCATAAGATTCAGCCGTTTGGGGGCATTGTCAATAGTTTTTAGAAGACATAAGATTCAGCCGTTTGGGGGCATTGTCAATTGTTTTTAGAAGAGAAAACAGCTCTTTCTCTCATGAATCACCTGTTCCGCGGATGTTTACCATATGTACATAGAGAAGTGCACATTGTGCAAGTGGAGCATGATCTCAAGTAGAACACGCACCTCACACGTTACCACCCCAAATATCTGTCCACTCCTAGCCCCTGGAACCTGTGCCTGGGACCTCACATGGAAATAGGATCTTCACAAACATGATCAAGTTAAGATGAGGTCGGATTGGCATAGTCTGACATCAGTGACAGGTGTCCTCTTAAGGAGAGGGAAATTTGGACAGACACACAATGAGGAGGTCGGGTGACTACGGAAGCAGAGATTAGAGTGATGCGGCCAGATGCCAAGGAATAAGAGCTGCCAGCACCCATCAGAAGCTAGAAGAGGCAGAGAGGGGCCTTGGGAGGGAGTGCTGCCTGCTGACACCTTGATTTTGGACTCTGGCCTCCAGAGTTGGGAAGGAATACATTTCTCTTGATATAAGCCCCCCAATTTGTTGTACTTGTTTACAGCAGTGCCAGGAGATTCAGACAACTTCCATGTCCTCTGAGCCCCCTCGTGCCCTCACTTTTCCTGTCCCCCTAAAAGTAGCCACTTGAGGCACCGGTGGTTCTCACCTGACTGTAAACTTCCTATACTGGAGTCACAGTGCACTCTTTGGCTGAATACCCCTCTGAGGTCCATTGTTGAGTGTACGGCAGACTTTGGTCCTATCATGGCTGCTTGTTTTCCTTTTTTCTCTTTTTTAAATATGTTTTTATTGATTTCAGAGTGGAAAGGAGAGGGAGAGAGAGATAGAAACACCTATCTATATATACAAAAGGCTAATATGCAAAGTGCTCCCGTGGAAGTTCGACTGGAGACTGGGCATTCTATCACTCGCTGTGACGTGCGCTGACCACCAGGGGGTGACACGGAACAAAGGAATGCCCCAGCCTGCAGCCAGGAATCCCCTCTGACTGGCAGCTGGAAGGCCCCGATGGGCCCAATTGCTGGCCAGGCCTAGGGACCCTACCCATGCATGAGTTTTGTGCACCGGACCTCTAGTCAATGATGAGAGAGAATCATTGATCAGCTGCTTCCTGCTGGGGATTGAGCCCTAAACCCAGACATGTGCCCTGACCAGGAATTGAACTGTGGCCTCCTGGTTCATAGGTCAGTGCTCAACCATTGAGCCACACAGGCTGGGCTGGCTGCTTGTTTTTCCACTGCATGTGTAGCTACCAGATGAAATGCAGGGCACCCAACTGCATTTGCATTGCAGGGAAACAAAGAATCACATTTGAGGTCAAGTATGCAATATTTGAAGCATACTGAGCTAACACATGGTTTGTTGCTTCTCTGAAATGAAAAGGTAACTGATGCCTGTGTTTTGTTTCCTAGTCCAGGCCGCTGCCATGCCCAGCAGTGGGCGTAAGAGAAGTCACGCTCCTGGTTTTCTGTCCTTTGTGGTTGACCTGCCCCCTGGGTCCCAGCATGTGGCCTCACTTCAAAGTGGGAGGGTTCTGGGGTTTGAGGGTATTCCTGCCCCTGGAGAGGAGGGCCTCAGACCACGTGTCTGGAGAGCTGGCCTGGAGGCCTGTGGCAGAACCACTGTCTCATGATGGGGGAACACATGGAGAATGGGTTGGGGGGCTCTGGGCCCGGGTTTTCTTGGCCAGGGGAGGGGGACCAGGAGGACACCAGCAACGTTGCCTGCAGCCCTGGGTTCTGGTGTCTAGTAGGTGTCTAATCTCTGAAGCTCACTAAAACAAGGAAGGGCAGGGCCCCTGCTGTAGGGAAGGCCTGGGCTTCCCATTCTGAGGCTGGACATCCTGATGACAGGCTGTGGGTGGTGGGGACAGGCCTGGGTCCAGCACTGGCCCTGCTGTTGTCCTCCACACAGCAGGTGTGGGTCTATGCTCTCCCAGCAGGGCCAGATGAGGCCAGACTATCCTGGTGGGGTGGTGATGCTTAGTGTAGCGTGGGCCTGTGGCTAAGTGCCCTGTCATTTCTTTTCTGCTTCCAGTCGCCCCATTCGGCGTCTTTCCAGATCGGACAGATGAGCAACGTGGAGCCGGACGATGAGCTTCTGGACCCAGTGAGTGGGAGTCATTCCCGTTTATACCCAGGAAGGACAGACGAGGCCTGCTTGGCGGAATTGCCACCTAGCCAAAGGCAGACAGTAATGAAAACCCAGAGGATGGCGGGTGTAGGCTCTGTGAGAGACGTGTGCAAATCTGTGCAGACCTCGGGCGGTTTTGTGTATGGCTCAGTGACAGACGTGGGCAATTCTGTGCAGAGCTCAGGGACAGATATGGACAGGGCCACACAGAACTCAGAGACAGAAATGGGCTGAGCAGAGCTCAGAGACAATGAGGAGCAGGCATTGGGGCCCCCAGAGCCTAGGTGACCAGGGAAGGCTATTCTGAGGGGCCATGTTCCCCAAGGCCAAGCCAGGTAGGGGAAGTGTGACAGGTGTTGAATGCTGATTGAGCATGCTCTGTGTAGGCAGAGGAAGCAGGCCAGGGCGGGTGCTGTGGGTGGAAGAGGGCTGCCAGGTAGGCTGGAGGAGGGCCCTGGGGGCAGGGCGGGCATCTCAGGGTGGATGTCCCTGGACAGCGGTGATGTCCTTTTCTGCCCCTGTGTCAGGCTTGGACTGTCCAACAGCTGCCAGGGGAACATGTCCTGAAAATGTCCACCCAGACTTGCATTTGACTTCCTCCTCGGGTGTCTCGTGGTCCTGATTTTCATTCCCCTGATGGCCAGTGATGTTGAGCATTTTTCATGTGCCGATGGCCGTTTGTATGTCTTCTTTGGAGAAATGTCTATTTAGATCCTGTGCCCATTTGTAATCAAGTTATTTTTGTTTTAATAATTGAGCTGTAAGAGTTCTTTATGTAGCCTAGACACAAATTGCTCATCAGATAAATGATTCGAAGAAACTTTTTCCCGTTTTGTGGATGTCGTCTCACTTTCTGACAGGGCCTGTGAAGCACAAAACCCTTTAATTTTGATGAAGTCTGGTTTACCTATTTTCTTGGGTTGTGCTTTTGTTGTCACATCTAAGAAACCATTGCCTAGTCCAAGGTCATAAAGAGTCACTGCTGTGTTTTCTTCTAAGACTTCTATATTTTTAGGTCTTGATCGTTTTTCACTAATTTTGTGTATGGTGTAAGGTACAGGTTCAGGTTCATAGTTTTGCATTTGGATGTCTAGTTTTCCCAGCACCATTTCATGAAGTGACTATACTTTCCCAGTTGAATTGTGTTGGCACCCTTGCAGAAAATCAATTGGCCATAAATGCGAGGGTTTATTTCTGACTCTCGATTGTCTGCTGTTAATCTCGGTCTGTCCTTGAGCCAGCACCACCACTGTCATGACAACTGTAGCTTTATAGTCACTTTTGAAGTCAGGAAGTTTGAGTCCAACTTTGCTCTTCTTTTTCAAGGTTGTTCTGCCTCTGAGACATCTCTTGCATTTCCATGTTGATTTTAGGATCAGCTTGTCAATTTCTTGAATGCTTCCAGATGGAATTTAGAGATTGTGTTGAATCTTAATGTTAAGTCTTCTGATGAACACAGGATATCTTTTCATTTATTTAGGTCTTCAGTTCCTTCTTTTCAACAATGTTTTATAATTTTCAGCATACAAATCTTACACTTTTGTTATATGTATTTTAGGGATAAATTTTATTTTATATATTTTATTTTTCATGCTGTTGTAAATAGAGTTGTTTTCTTTCTTTCTTTTTTTAAATATATATTTTATTGATTTTTCACAGAGAGGAAGGGAGAGGAGGGATAGAGAGCCAGAAACATCGATGAGAGAGAAACATCGATCAGCTGCCTCCTGCACGTCCCCCACTGGGGATGTGCCCGCAACCAAGGTATATGCCCTTGACCGGAATCGAACCCGGGACCCTTGAGTCCGCAGGCCGATGCTCTGTCCACTGAGCCAAACCGGTTCTGGCTAGAGTTGTTTTCTTTAAAAAAATATTTTTATTGATTTCAGAGAGAGGAAGGGAGAGAATTATTAATGATGAGAGAATTATTGATTGGCTGCCTCCTGCATGCTCTCTACTGGGGATTGAGCCCTCAACCTGGGCATGTGCCTTGACCAGGAATTGAACTGTGACCTCCTGGATCATAGATCAAGGCTCAACCACTGAGCCACACAGGCTGGGCTATGGTTGTTTTCTTAATTGCATTTCAGATGGTTCGTTGCCAATGCATAGAAATAAATTTTATATTTATATTACTGATCTTGTATCCTTCAGTCTTACTGAATGCATTCTAACAGTTTTTTAGTCTATTTTGGAGGATTTTCTACATATAAAATCATGTCATCTGCAAATAGAGTTTCATTTATTCCTTTACAATCTGGATGCTTTTTATTTCATTCTCTTGCCTAATTGCCATGGTAGAACCTCCAGGACCAGGCTGAATAGCAGTGGCAAGAGCAAGTCTCCTTGTCTTGTTCCTGAACTTAGGGGAAAAGCTTAGTCTTTCACCATTGACAGTGATGTTACCTGTGGGTTTTTGCTAAATGCCTTTATCAGGTTGAGGAAATTCCCTCTATTCCTAGTTGAGTGTTTTAATCATGAAGAGGAGTTGATTTTTGTTGTTGTTGTTGTTGTTGTTAGCCTCACCTGAGGATATTTTCTCCATTGCTTTTCAGAGAGAGTGGAAGGGAGGGATGAGTGGGGCATGTGAGAGAGACACATCAACTAGTTGCCTCCTGCATGCACCCAACCGGGGGCGGGGGTGAACCCACAACCCAGGTGCATACCCTTGACCGGAAATTGAACCCACAACCCTTTGGTGCACAGAGTGATGGTCTAACCACTGAGCACCAGCTAAGGCAAGAGGGGTTGAATTTTGTCAGATGCTTTTTCTGTGTCTATTGAGGTCATATGTATTTTCTGTCCTTTATTCTATTAAAGTGGCATTACACTTGATTCACTCACAAAACTTCTGATAACAAATATGTGGGGTTTTTCCTCACACCAACTAATTCTGTTTTTCCGGATACCACCTGGTTGTCCTACAAGTCAGTCCATTCTGACACTAACTGCATGATGTTGGCACAGACCCCACAGGCTAAGGGCTCAGTCCTACAAGACTGCCCCCACTTCAGACCCCAGTCACAAGTCCAGGTTGTCATTTGTGATTGTGACTGACCAGCTATAAATCACAGTTTCCCAGACCCTTTCCTTAGGTCCATAATTTGCTAAAGGGCTCACAGAACTCAGGGAAATATTTTACTTATGTTTACTGATTTATTATAGAGGCTACAACTCAGGAACAGCAGACAGTAGGTGCACAGGGAAGGGTGCAGAACTTTCATGCCCTCCAGGAGCGCCACCCCACAGCACCTCACATGTTCACCAACCCAGAAGTTCTCCAAACCCCTTCATTTAGGGTTTTTATGGAGGTTCCATACACAGGCTGATTAAGTCATTGGTCGTTGGTGATTAGCTCAATCTCTAGCCCCTCTCCCTCCACTGATGTTGGGACTGAAAGTTCCTGTCCTCTAATCACACCTTGATCTCTCTGGCAACTAGCCCCATCCTGAAGCCTAGGAGCCCCTGTGATCCCTCCAGCTCATTAGCTCACATAAGACACTACCCAGAGATGCCCAGGATTTTAGGAGCCAGGTGCTAGAAATTGGCACAAAGACCAATAATATATTCTCCAATGTACCACAGACGTTACAGTAATTGATTTTCAGATGTTAAACTACCCTTGCATTCCTGGTGTCTTGTAGGATCTAACCCACTGGCGTCTTGCTGAGAATTTTGTGTCTGTGTTCACAAGGGTGTGTACTTGTAGTGAGTTTCCTTTCTTGTGGCATCCATGTTCAGCTTTGGGGTCAGGAGAGCAGTGACCTCATGAGATGAGTAGACAGGTGCTCTGTCCTCTCCTCATTTGTGCTTTGCTCTTCAACGTGCTAGGTTGTCAGTGTGTGACTCTGCCTCTTCCTTTGCAGAATATGGATCCCCCTCACCCTTTCCCCAAGGAGATCCCGCACAACGAGAAGCTCCTGTCCCTCAAGTATGAGGTGGGCCTCCTCCCTGGGTGCCCATGCCCCTCACCGCCCCAGGCACTTCATTCCCCTCCAGCCTCACCCCCACCACCTGCCCGACGTGAACCTGGGACACCAGGGTCAGTCATTGTGTTGTCTGTGTCACCCTGGTCTGCAGAGCTTGGACTATGACAACAGTGAGAACCAGCTGTTCCTGGAGGAGGAGAGGCGCATCAACCACATGGTGAGTCTGGGGCCGGGCAGCCTGGACACCGCCCTAGGGACCCACGGGCTGGGCTGGTGCTACTCTCCCACCTGGGTGTGGTGATGGGTCCCCTCCATCTCCCTGCCCTCAGTCCTGTGCCGCAGGTTCTGGTTTGTGTTCTGGAGCAAGAGACACCCAACACCTGATACAGGAAAGGGCGTGTGTGTCACATTTCAAATACAACAAAGAAGGCGGTTCTTAGATGTCAGCTGCAGTGGCCAAGATGTCAACAACTGATTGTGGCTTGGTTGGGAACGTCATCCCCCACCCCACCCCAATGCTCCATCCTCTCTCAGACATTGACCTGAGGCTGCCATCATGGACTTGGGGAATTCCAGGGCCAGTCATGTCGTCGCTAGAGCAGTCTATGGCTGATGTCTTGCCACTGCACTCACCTCTGACTAGTGCCTCCCCCTCAGGCCTTCCGGACAGTGGAGATCAAGCGCTGGGTCATTTGTGCCATGATAGGGATCCTCACGGGGCTTGTGGCCTGCTTCATCGACATCATGGTGGAGAACTTGGCTGGCCTGAAATACAAGGTCGTCAAGGACAGTATCCTTTTCTGAGGGGGCCCAGCACAGGGGTGGAGCTTAGAGCAGAGCGTAGGGTCCCATGAGTGACTGCATCCCAGAGCGGGCCCAACAGGAGATATCTCTGGCCTGGGTGTTCGCCCTCCACCTGGGAGAGTTGGGAACGGGCAGTGGAATGTCTCTGAGATGTGCAGTTAGTGCATCACCCCCTCCCTGCCTCTCACTCCCCCCCGGGAACTTGGGGGTCGTGCTTGTATCAGGGTGCGGCACGCTGGGGTTGTACTCAGATGGTGGAGCTGATACTCGTCCTTGATGAGCCCAGATATCGACAAGTTCACGGAGAAAGGGGGGCTGTCCTTCTCCCTCCTGCTGTGGGCCACGTTGAATTCTGCGTTCGTGCTGGTCGGCTCCATGATTGTTGCCTTCATAGAGGTACGGCCACCAGGGAGCCCTGGATGGTGGGAACTGCTCCAGCTCACCTACTGCAGCTTCTGGCAGTGAGGTTCCCGCGGTCACACTAGTACAGATGTTAAACGGTTCAGTAAGAACACCCTCCTTACCCTGGTGGTGCGCCCACGCCCACCCCACACGGCAGAGACCATGGGGGAACGCACAGCTCACTTCTAGGAGGGCCCAATGGTCCAAACGGAGGGGACCACCCACCTGAGGGAATCAGACCCTCCTATGGTATCCCTTCATTCCAGGACTCTCCCAGAAGCCCTTCCTAGGGCCTGCCTCTTTCTGTGCTCTTCCCTTATCATGAGGCGTTGGAAGGAAGAAGCGGAAACATCCAGCAGCTTCTATCTAGTGTGCAGTGCGGTGCCCCCCTCCCAAGGGGGATCGAGGAACTCTGGTTCCTCTCAGCTAGTGCATGATATATGCCTCCGGTCTGTCCTAGAGTGTCCCCACTCTGCCCCTGTGGGAGGCACTGCACCTCCTTCCATTTCCACACCCAACCCCTCCCACACCCCACAGCATTTGCACCCCTCGGTGGTCGTTCTACATCTGGGGTGGGGAGAAGTGGGAAGCCCCTTCCCAGGCAGCTGTCCTGTCCAGTCCCATGTCATCCCCTCCCCACCCTGAGCACCATGAGGCTGAGTCTCCCTGGGCCTCCTCATCTACATCCATTCATTCAGCTTGGCCAGCTCCATGTTCTCTTCTCTCTCCTTCCAGCCAGTTGCTGCTGGCAGCGGGATCCCCCAGATCAAGTGCTTCCTCAACGGGGTGAAGATCCCCCACGTGGTCCGGCTCAAGGTGAGGAGGTGACCCCTGGGCTGGGAGCACGGTGCCCATCATGGGGATTCTTTGCTGGGTTAGAAACTTTTTGTTTGTCCACCTGCACCTCCTCAGTTCACCCAGACCATGTTGTGTGCTGCTGACGAGCATGTGCATGGATGTGCTGGAAGATTTTGTACATTTTCTTTGGAAAGTGGTGAAAACTTTCTCTGCACATTTTTTGTAACAGAGAAATGCTTCAGTGGTGTGCGTGCTGTGACCACCGCTGTGGAGCGTGTTTGTCAGTTCCTCACAGGGGTCAGCATTCCAGAAGGAGAGCACCTGTGTGGAGTGGGAGCCTTGCTGTGCGCTCTTTCCATTTCTCAAAGTTTTCCTAATACTCATACTTACTGTTCTTGATGACACACTCATTCCAAGGGGCTGGCAAGTCAGGCTTCTTCCCATGGCCATTTCCGGTGTTTTGTTCTGCGTGCCTCAGCCGATGCTTTTCTCCCGCCCCCATCTGGGGAGCAGGCGCTCCTGGGGGCCTGGACACACTGGGGGAGCAGAGTGACCTCAAGGGGGAGCGGTTGTGCTGGTTGTTATGTTACTAGTCTTGCTTTGTGTGCAGGGCTGTGGCTCAGGTCCTCAGACAGCGTGCAGTCTGTAATCAGAGACTTGACACTCTTTCCTTTGTGTTCCAGACGCTGGTGATTAAAGTATCTGGTGTGATCCTGTCCGTGGTGGGAGGACTGGCGGTGGGAAAGGTAATGCAGCCCGAGGAGCGCTGCTCGGGCCTGAGTCCCCCTGCCCTCCATGTTCTCCTGAACTCGCCTGATGGGGCTGTCCTGCACTTTCCAGGAGGGGCCGATGATTCACTCGGGCTCCGTGATTGCTGCTGGGGTTTCCCAGGGGAGGTCAACGTCACTGAAGCGAGATTTCAAGGTGAGTCCTCCTGATGCAGATGTCGACAATGAGGGTGACCGTGAATGTTCCTTGGAAGGCGGGTCCTTCCTGCTCTGTATCAAGACCATCCTGACTTCGCACCTGAGGGTCTCCACAGAGTTCTGTCCTGGGTGGCTCTCCCGGGCCTGCCAAGGACTCTGCTGGGAGCCTGGTTCGCAGGGTTTGGTGGGTGTGCATTTCCCTGAGGAAATGGCCTCAAAGGCCTGTGTGACCTAGAAAGGGGTCAGGAGAGACGTGCTGGCAGACAGAAGATGCTTAGTTTCCAAGATACTCTTCAGAATAATGTCACGTTTCCCCAGAAAGCCACCAGCTTTTTGATGGGCATTGCACTGAATGTATATACGAATTTGGAGACAGTTAACATTTTTTTACAGAACAGAGTCTTTTAAAATCAAGAATACACTTAAGTTTTTTTGTTGTTGTTGTTCTCACTCGAGAATATTTTTCCATTGATCTCTTTTTTTTTAGTTTTTTTCTTTTTAATTTATCTTTATTGTTAAAAGTGTTACAGATGTTCTCTATTTTTCCCATTGACCCCCTCCACCCCATACCTACCCCTCCCAGGCCTTCACCAGCGTATTTTCTGAGTCCATGGACTATGCATATAAGTTCCCCGGTTAATCTCTACCTCCTCACCCCCCACCCCTGCCTTCCTTCTGAGATTCATCAGTCTGTTCCATGCTTCTATGTCTCTGGATCTATTTTATCCATCAGTTTATTTTCTCTGTTGATTTTTAAAAAGAGAGGGAGGGAGGGAGGGATACAGCTAGAAACATCAATGTGAGAGAGACACATTGATTGGTTGCCTCCCACATGCCCCCCTAGGACCAGGGATTGAACCTGTAACCCAGGTACGTGCCCTTGACTGGGAATGGAACCCGAGACCCTTTGATGCGTGGGCCGATGCTCTACCCACACCGGCCAGGGCCTAAAGTTTAATTCTTGTGATAGAATCTCTTCATTATTTTCTCGTGGTTGTTGGTGTGCAAGGAAGCTCTCTCTTGTTGCCTCTTCGGTTCCGCAGTCCTTGTGAGCCCAGGAGTTGATGAGTTGACTGTCTAGAGACTTCCTCTCCCTCCACCGCCTCCCTCCCCGTCCCTTTCTGAGAAGTGCCCTTGGGGAAGCTGGCTAATGCCCTGCTCCTGTCTGTTCTGCCCCATTGCAGATCTTTGAGTACTTCCGCAGAGACACGGAGAAGCGGGACTTTGTCTCGGCAGGAGCCGCGGCTGGAGTGTCTGCTGCGTTTGGGGCCCCTGTGGGTGAGCAGGGGCCCTGCCTGGTTGACAAGTGACGGCCTGTGTTGGGCAAGCCAGGCTGTCTGTGCCTTGAGAGGAATAGTTTGGGTGTTTGCAGACTTCGGTGCTGGGTGGTGGTGAGGATGTGGGGTGCCTCCCGAAAGGCCCCATGGCTGCCTCTCATGTGGGCTTGGTGCCGTGGGTCTGGGTGTGAGGGGCTCTGGGTGCGGGGCTCCCTGTGCCTGGGTAGAAACTTCAGGCTGGGCCACTGCGTTCCAGGCGGGGTCCTCTTCAGCTTGGAGGAAGGTGCCTCCTTCTGGAACCAGTTCCTGACGTGGAGAATCGTAAGTGCCCACAGACGGCGCCTCTCCCCGGGTCAGGCAGTGCCCACATCTCACTTTGGTGTCCTCCGTGGTCCAGTAGACACCACACTCTGGGCCCACGCTTCGGTGCCCTCGCCTGAGGGGCCTGTTGAGCTGTGGTTGGAGCCACGCCCCGTTGGATTTTTATGGCCCAGCTCTACCTCACTTGACCCTGAAGTGTTGCCTCCTGCCCTTCCCCTGTCAGTCAGGTCACTGTTCCACCCTGGGGCTCCTTCAGCTCCTCATTGGGAACCCCCAGACCTCATACACCTTTCCTCGGCTCTGTCCTGGCTTGACCCCACACTCGCCTGGCTGCCCAGCCTCCTGTCCTTTAGCTTCTGGAGGGGCTCCAGGTGCCTCCTGAGTGAAAGGAGAGGCAGCCCCTTCTCCTGCAGCCCCTCCCCAGCTCCCAGGTTCCTCTCGGTGGGCACGGTTGTTCTGATGGTGCTTGTTTCTCTCTCTGCCCACAGTTCTTTGCTTCCATGATTTCCACCTTCACACTGAACTTCGTCTTAAGCATTTACCATGGAAACATCTGGGACCTGTCCAGCCCCGGCCTCATCAATTTTGGAAGGTTTGACACAGAGGTAATGTGGCCCGTTGTCCCAGTCACTGTTTCTGGTTCTCCGTGCTCGGCCACGGCTGTTTACTTAAGGTTCAGCCCGAGACCTGGGGCTTCTGGGAAACTCCATCTCTTCGCTGAGATTGAGCTCTGTTCATAAGCACCAGGGCCAGGGGTGCTCTTGGGAAGCACACATCCAACCTGGCGTGCAGGGGAGGATGCCCCGGTAGCCAGCCCAGGGGCACCTTCAGGGTTGTCTCCACCATCTGTGGATTGTTGGGCAGTGACACAGACTGTGGTCCTGGGCGCTCATGCACCAGCTTAGGGAGGGTGAGTAGGAGAGGCCGGCGCCCCTAGGAAGGCCGGGACCAGACACTGCATTGCCAGACACTGCAAGGGGGTCCTGCTCCCGGGCCGTCCTTGCACAGGGACACAGTGGAGCTCTTGGGTTGTTTGGGTCACTAGACGTGTTCCTAGGTCTCTCCTTCCTGCCCCCCTTGCTTCCCCATCTGTCAAGTCTGAGTGGCAAGAAGCTGATAACACATTTCCTCACAGAACATCTGCTCTTCCTCTTTGCACAGACGATGGTGTACACGATCCACGAGATCCCCATCTTCATCGCCATGGGCGTGGTGGGTAAGGGCCATCCCCAGAAGGACACCAACCCACCTGGCCCCACACTTCTCCATCACTCGAGATGGCAACCCCCAGGGGGAACAAAGCATGTGGTGGGGTCAGGGCCCGCTTTGAAATGGCTCCTCCAGGAGAGAAACCCGCACCATAAAGAAACCAGAGCTCTGCTTCTCCATTGGGAAGCCCATCTAAGAAGTGGACTGGCCCATCGACAGCATCCATTACTCTGCAAACCTTTCCCTGAAAGGAAGGCAAAGCCTTTCAGAAATAAGCCCCTCTGTCCATCAGAGTGTGGTGATGGAGTGCGGGTATTTCCACAGACCCCTCCCAGTCCCTCTGCTACGGGACAGCCCAGCCGTCCTTACACGGGACCCCTTCCTGGCCGCAGGTGGTGTTCTTGGGGCTGTGTTCAATGCCTTGAATTACTGGCTGACGATGTTTCGAATCAGGTGAGAAATGATCTGTGGCTCCTGGGGCCTTTGAAAATGGACTCATTGTGGGCCGTGCCCACAGGGCCACATGGAATGCCACCTGCCAGTGTGCATTCCTCTGTGGTGGCTTGTATGTGAGGGGACAGCATGGGGCTGGGGGATGGATGGGGTAAGGCTAGGGGAGGCCTGGCAGGGGAGGCACTGCCTGTGGATCCAGCAGCCCTGGGGTCAGGGTCTTTCTGGCCTCAGTCTGGTCTGCCCAGGGCCATCTTGAGCCCGGGCGTAGTTAGCTGGGATGGCTTCTCTTGCCATTTGGAGAGCCATTACTGGAGCTTTGGGGTGGGGTCGGGGGGAGGGGAGGCGAGTTCTGGCTTGGGGAAGCACTTCCTCCTTCTGCAAAAACTTAAATGATGTTGGAGGGCACCCAGGTGATCTGAGGACGTGCAGGAGTCTGGGTAGGTTGATGACTAAACGTGCTGCATCACCCCCCTAATCAGTGTCGTATTATCAGCTCTTAGTATTATCAGCTCTTATCACAGGCCCAGGTTGCCTTGGTAACTGCCCAGGTGTCCAGAGGCCTGGTCCATCCCAGTGTTTGCTCTAGGTACATCCACCGGCCCTGCCTCCAGGTGATTGAGGCCATGCTGGTGGCCGCTGTTACAGCCACTGTCGCCTTTGTGCTGATCTACTCGTCCCGGGACTGCCAGCCCCTGCAAGGCAACTCCGTGTCCTACCCGCTCCAGGTAGGAGGTTGGGCCACCAGGCAGGGGGCAGGGCAGGCCTCTGAGGAGGAGCACTCGCTCCCCAGTCCCGGCAGGAGAGCTGGTGGCACAGCGGGACTCTGAGCTCTGGGCAGCACAGGCTGGTGTGTCCTCAGAGAGTCGGGCAGCCTGCTGGGTGTCGGGAAAGCTGGTGTTCTCAGGCTGGAGTCTCCCGGCCCTCCTCCCAGAATGTGGCCTGACAAGGACCGAGGAGGACTTCAGAAGTGGGGGCTGTGGGTACGGACCCGAGAAACGCAGCCTGCCTCCCCTCGGAGGCAGCAGCCCGACCTCATCCTGCCACGTGGTTGGCGCTTGATGCTGGGCAGGACTGCCCCATCCCACTGGCCCGTCCTCTCTCCCAACCTTGCAGCTCTTCTGTGCAGATGGCGAGTACAACTCCATGGCTGCTGCCTTCTTTAACACCCCGGAGAAGAGCGTGGTCGGCCTTTTCCACGACCCCCCAGGTGTGTCCGTGCTCAGCGCTGTCAGATGCCCATCGTCACGGGGCCCTGCCCCCTCTGGCCTGATGTGCAACAGCCCACCGACACGGCACAGAAGCCAGAGTAGATGGCGTCAGACTTCCATGGTGCTACTCCCTGGTGCTGCTCTAGCGTCATCTTGCCCCTTAGAACCCGTAGGCTGTCTCTGATGGTTTTCTGTCACAAATAAGAGTGCTGGGACTTTTCCGGTCCTTATGCACGTGACAGGAATCCACACATTTAACAGAGAAGCATTTACATGTGGGGAAAGGCCACGCCCTTTCTAGAAAGTGCTGAGTGAAGCCAGCAGTTGGCACCAGGCCTCCTGACATGCTGGTCCGGGGTTTCTGGAAGTTACCTAGTGTGGAATGTGGCTGGTGGCCTTCTCCCCTGACCCGTGGTGCCAGCTGTTTGCACACTGATTTCAATGGTCACCTTCTCGGCCTCAGGTCACTGTCCTGCTGGCTGCACTGGGCCCCACTTGCCCTGGCTCCCTCCGTCCCCGGGCAGAGCAGCCATCCTCCTGCCTCTAAGGACCCAGCCCCCAAAACCCCATGCTCTGGCCTCTGAAAATGGGGACACTTCCGGGGGCTCTCGGGGGTGTCTAGGGGTCAGGATATGACCTGGAGGTGCTGACTGGTCAGCCTCTCTCTACTAGGCTCCTACAACCCTATGACCCTTGGCCTCTTCACCCTCGTCTACTTTTTCCTGGCCTGCTGGACCTATGGGCTGACAGTGTCTGCTGGCGTCTTCATCCCATCCCTGCTCATTGGGGCTGCCTGGGGTCGGCTCTTCGGCATCTCACTGTCCTACCTCACCGGGGCCGCAGTAAGTGGGGTCTCCGTGCACCAAGCGCGTGGGACCAGAGCTGGGCTGGAGGGAAGGGGCAGTTCTGGTGCTGCAGCCTCGGGGCCACTGTGAGTGAGGGCAGTGGGCTCCCAGTGTGGTGGTCAGCGCCTCAGAGCCTCTGGTCATTTTACATGGCCATAGTTTTCTGGCTGCTGCTGTTCGATGGAACATGCCATTAATGTAGCCGTGCATGTGTGTGGTCCAGAGACAGTGTCGGGGGGAGACGCTCAGTGGTTATCAGTGAGCGAAGGTGACATGGAAGGATTGGGCGCCCAGCCTGCGGACACTGGTGACTGGCTCTGTGTGTGACAGGCCTTGCCCTGCGCCCCGCGGCCTCCCTGGCCTCCCTCTCCACCTGCCACCATGGGCACCATGGTTTTAACTTTATGTGAAGTCCCTTTTTTAAAACTAGTTATTCAGATAAGGTTTTTTAAAAAACTAAACAGAGCAGGCGAGTCTCTCCCGCACTGTCCCACCACCCACTCCCCTGGCCAGACGTGGGACAGGCTTTCCTCGGGTCTCAGGTTTCCTCCCGGGCACAATGTTTTGTGGTTTTTAATTGCAACATGATTCACATACCATACACCCACCCTTTAAAAGTACAATCCAGTGGTTCTATGGTGTGTTCAGAGTGTAACCGTTGTTACTATGTCGGTTCAGGACATTCTCATTACCCCAAAAAGAAATCTGTCCCCCAGCATTCACTCCCATGCCCCTCAGCCCTTGGCAGCGCCCTCTGCATTCTGTCTCAGTGGCCTTGCCTGTTCTGCCCGCTTTATGTGAGTGGGTCACACACCAGGCGCCATCGGTGCCGGCTTCCCTCACTGAGCGTGCAGCTTTCAGGGTGCATCTGTGTGGTAGTACGTGTTGGATTGTCACTCCCTCGTCGTGCGGGGTAGGCATTTCTGCAGATGACAGTCACTGCACACGTGGTGCTGGCCTCTGTCCCTGCATGCACCTGTAGCTCTGCCTCCTCCATACGCAGTGTCCTCCTGCCTCGTGCTGCCGGGTTCTCCGGCTTATGCCGACGGCGTGATTCATGCAGGGCGTCCTGGATTGGGCCACTCCGTGGGTATTTCCAGGCCTTGTGTTACTGAGGAGGAGCAGGCTGTTTGCACATGTGCATAAGCTCTCCTGGATGTGACATTGCTGAGCGCAGGCAGCCTCGTGCATCTTGGTGGGTTTGGGTAGGGGGTGTCATCCCCAACACCACCTCTGTGTCATCCCCACAGATCTGGGCAGACCCCGGCAAGTACGCCCTGATGGGAGCAGCTGCCCAACTGGGTGAGTCCTGTCTGCCACGTGGGCAACCCAAGGTCAGGAGGGGCAGGTACCTCATGGAGGTCGAAGGCCAGGTGTTCAATTTAGTGTCATCGACCACTCCCTGCAGGGTGTAGCTGGGCCCTGAATGGATGGTGATGGGCTCTGCACAGAGAACATGGGCAGGCAGGGGTGGGTGGAGTGGCCTACAGGGGCTCGAGACCACCCTACCTCACCCAGCTCACCTCTCCCTCCCTGGGCAGGTGGGATCGTGAGGATGACGCTGAGCCTGACAGTTATCATGATGGAGGCCACCAGCAATGTGACCTATGGCTTCCCTATCATGCTGATCCTAATGACCGCCAAGATCGTAGGAGACATTTTCATTGAGGTGCAGCTGGTGGGAAAGGCCTGCCTGCCTAGCCCTCATTGTGGGTCCCATCCCCATGCCCTGGTCTCAGAGCCTGAGAATGTGGGGACTGGGCTCTGTAGAGGAGGGAAGGGGGCCCCTGCAAAGCCATCCCCCACGTTGGTGGTAGGCACAGCGTGCCTGGACCCCTCCCTCAGTGACAGGCACAGTGCTCTCCCTGAATCCCCCCTTGGTAGCTGGTCATTGCACCCTGTGACCCCTCCCTCATGTCAATACTGTGCCTGATGCCTGTCCCCTCCTCCCCAGGGCCTGTACGACATGCACATCCAGCTGCAAAGTGTGCCCTTCCTGCACTGGGAAGCCCCGGTTACCTCGCACTCGCTCACCGCCAGGTATCACCTCTCTCCCTGTCTTGGTTTAGGCTGACGGCCTGCAGGCCTGGGGCTTCCTCTCCACACTTCGGCCGAGGGCAGTGAGTGGTGCCGACGCTCTGGCAGGGTGGGTGTGGGCAGCCAGGAGCAGGAAGGAAGCCACCCGCCTGTGTGCGAACATCTGGCAGATGCTCTCCAGGTGTTGGGGCTGCAAGCACCACCCAGGACGGGTTCTCCCAGGGCAGCACCTGGGCTCTGTGGCCTCCGGGCTTCCTGCATCCCTTCTCGTGGCTACTGCATCCAGCAGCTTCCTGCCTGTTGAACTTCATTTCTGCTGTGAAGAGAGACCATTCAGGAACCCCCAGGGACACATGGTTTGTGACCCTGTGGCCAACAGTGGACGAGTGTGTGCTCTTCCACAGGGAGGTGATGAGCACGCCCGTCACCTGCCTGCGGAGGAGGGAGAAAGTGGGCGTCATCGTGGATGTGCTCAGCAACACGACGTCCAATCACAACGGGTTCCCTGTGGTGGAGTCCACCGACGATTCCCAGGTACAGGGCCTGGGTGGGTGGGCCTGGGTCCGCTGCTGTCCCACAGGAGCCCATAGCTGCAGGCCAGGTCCTGCCTCCCTCCCTCACAGGGAAGCCATACTCTTCCCCTGTACCTGTCAAGCAGGGCATGGGCAGGGTTGGTTTGTAGGGACACAGAGACTTGTCTGGGTTTATGGTAGAATTCCACTAACTGTGAAAGGAGCCGAGTCCCACAGCTGTGTGAGCGCTGTCCCCGTGGGTAGGTTAGTGCCAGGCCCGGTGTCACGCTCATACCCCACGCTGCACCATCAGCCGTGGCTGTGCCTGTTGTCAGGAGAGGCCTGACAGCACATGTGGCCCACCCAGTCCCAAGCTCCCGAAGGTTTGGGGTGAATTTTGTCAGGGCCGGGTCTGCCTCTCCCCCCAGCACATGCCGCAACCCAGGCACCAAGTTCCTTGCTCTTCGTTGCGAGTCCCCCTGCCCTCCCAGGTGTTTGGGGGTTAGCAAGCCTGTGCCTTTGGCAAAGCCAGTGCCAGTCGACTGTGACCATACGTTGATGGGGGGTGTGGCGGGGAACCTGACTAGAGCCAAGGTCCCCGAGCAGACGTGCTGACCCTGCTGCGCAGACACTGCCTGCCCTCCCGTTCACACCTCTGAGCTTTCAGCAGGGCCTCAGCCAGGCAGGCAGGTAGGACTTGGGCTCTGCTCGCAGACAAGGCCATTTTCTCTTCCCTGCAGTCGGCTCGGCTCCAGGGCCTGATCCTGCGCTCCGTCCTCTTGAAGCACAAGGTAGGCTCCTCGGCACCTCCGGGTGGCGGGAGATGCAGGCTGGTAGCTGGGGTTCTGACATGCCTTGTCCACTGCCTGTTACCTGCTGCCCGCAGGTGTTTGTTGAGCGGTCCAACAGGGGCCTGGTACAACGGCGGCTGAGGCTGAAGGACTTCCGGGATGCCTACCCACGCTTCCCCCCAATCCAGTCCATCCATGTGTCCCAGGATGAGCGCGAGTGCACCATGGACCTCTCTGAATTCATGAACCCCTCCCCGTATACGGTGCCCCAGGTGCCTGATTCCCACTTGCAGGGTCTTGAGTGGCCTTCAGTGGCTTGCCAGGGAGGGCGGGGGTGGAATCCATGGAGAAATGGGAAGAGCTCCATCCTTAAACTCAGGTCAAGGATTGGGGGATGGGCATGGCTGTAGAGCCAGACACCAGCAGCATGACTGGGATAGGGCTGGTTGGCATGGGGGGAAGGGGTGCTTTAGGACGCATCTTGATGTCCTGGTCGCGACGGGTGTGATGGGAGACGGCCAGCCCTGAGCTTGGTGGGTCCTGCCTCTGCTCTTGGCTGGAGCCAGTCTGGGCCAGTGGGCAAGCTGAGGCCCTGACCACATTGCAGGAGGCATCTCTCCCTCGGGTGTTCAAGCTGTTCCGGGCCCTGGGCCTCAGGCATCTGGTGGTAGTGGACAACCACAATCAGGTGAGTAGCCAGGGAGGGCAGAGGGCCCCTTTCCCTGCTGGCCTGCCTGCCCTGGCCACAGGTGCACAGGTGCTCTCTGCAGGAGACTCTGAGGCCCAGGATCCAGACTGGTCATATGTCCACCTCCGGGTCTCCCCCAAGCTGTGCTGTTCCCCCCACATGCTTCCACAGAGGAGGAGTGGAGCCACTGGATTCCTATGACCTGGCTTTGTTCCCACAGGTGGTCGGGCTGGTAACCAGGAAAGACCTGGCCAGGTACCGGCTTGGGAAGGGGGGCCTGGAGGAGCTCTCACTGGCCCAGACGTGAGACCCTGGCCCTGGCACCTCACCTGGGGTCCTGAACACGCTCCTCGGGCGGCAGCAGATCTGTTGTCCTCAGACCTCGGGATGGCCCAGCCGGTGTGTGAGCGTGACCATCAATAGGCACCTTGTCAATGTTCCCCACCCTCCCCCTTGCCTCAGCCCCTTGGATGTCACTCTCCATCCTCCTGTTTCTTCGCCCTCAGGGAGCAGATGTTCATGCACATGCTCACTTCCTCAGCCAGCGAGAGGTCATGTGTGCATGTGTGTGTCTCAGTGCGTGTTTGTGTGTGTTCATGGTGTGTTCACGTGTGTGAGGCAGCGAGCAAGCTGGGCCCTGTGGACTTGAGTGCTGCAGGCCCCCAGGGCGGGGCCACCCTGCTTCTCTGCTCCTCGTGACTCTCAGTGCTGGACAAAAAGATCACGCCGCCTGGACACTGCCAGCTGGAGGCCTTGGGCCTTGTCCCCACGGCCCAGTCTGCGGCCGTGAGGTGATAGGCCTGTGCAGCTGGGACCTACCTGGGCAAAGGCCCAGCCGAAGGACCAAAGGCAAGGGCTTGGGGCAGCAGACTGGAGCAGGCTGTCAGGAAGCCGGCTGTTCTCCAGATTCCTGCGTGTGCCCTGGCCCGCAACCCGACTCGGGAGGCCATGGGCTCTGCGAGGAAGTCTTGGCCAGAGGAGAGCTGAGAACCACCGTGGGCCTGAACCCGAGTTCTGTCACACATGCCACCCAAGCCCTCTGGAGCTGGAGTCCAGATGAACAGCTGTTGCCACTGGGACCGAGGCTGGGAAGGCGGGTCTTCTCAGCATGGGGCTGGGGTGGGCCAGGGGCTATGTTCTGGGCGGCTCTGATTCCAGGCCAGCTGCTGGGCTTTGGGCTGAGCTGCCGAGCCTGCAGCAGGGATGCTGTTCCCCTCCAAGGAAGTTTTTTAAAGGTGATTCCCAAGTCCCCACCATCTCTGATGAGGTGATTCAGATGCTTTAGTGGGGAGCTGGTGGGTGCTGCGCCTTGGTTTTAGCCCCTTTCAAGGGGGTGGGGCCTCGAATCGCAGGTCCAGTCCTGGTGGGGAGTCCTCTGTGGGGGGAGCAGGATCTGAATGTGGGAAGTCTGAGTAGGAGAAATAAAGGAATTGTACCAGACAGCCTGCGCCAGCTTCCTGTTTCTGCTTAGCATGGACCACAGTCTAGCAGCCCCGGATTCCAGGGCCATGGGGTGGGGGTGTCTTGGATGAGACCCTCCTCTGCGTGATGCGGGTGGACAGCACCCCAGAGGATGTCACTGGGAGGGAGACACAGATGAGAGGCCAGGAGACCAGGGGGTTGTGTAGTTCAGGCCCTCACACTTCCCTCAGGAGAGGACCCCCGGGCACCAACCACGCATCCTCATTTGAATGTCTGGGCAGTGTTGTTCCTGGGCAGCTACAGAGCCTGGTGGGGAGGGCTTTTACCCATCTGTCTCCAACCTGATCTGCTTGGCCACAAGGCGTGTGGTGTGGCTCCCCCTGGAGGAGAAGTTGACAAGCATTCTTGTCACAGGGGAGAAGTTGACAAGCATTCTTGTCACAGGGAAGCCCCAGCCAGACCTCAGTGGCAGGTCTAGGTGACATGGGGAGGGCGAGGGGCTCACTTCTGGTGCACCGGCCTGAAGTGAGACCTAACCTTCACCAGCCTTCGGACGCGGTGGGGAGAAAGCGAGGAGGCATTTCACTCACTTTGTGTTGAGTACATGTTGAAATGGTATTTTAGATGAACTGGGTTAAATAAAATGGACTATTGAAGTTCACTCCACCTGGCTATTTTCTTTTTTTAATGAATTTTATATATTTTTTAAAACTTTATTTTCTGCAAAGCCAATCAAGTGTTGGGTGGGAATGGTGTAAGAGTTATTCTTGCATATTCAGGAACAGCAAGCACTCAGTTACAGAAAATAAGAACTTAAAATATTTGAATCAAAGGCAGTACCCTGCTACTTGAATTTTAAAACTGTCATGTTCTTTCTTAGCAACAAAAAAACATTTTTATTGATTTCAGAGAGGAAGGGAGAGAGAGAGAGAAACATCAATGATGAGAGAATTGATCGGCTGCCTCCTGCACGCCTCCTACTGGGGATCGAGCGGGCTTGTGCCCTGACTGGGAATTGAACCGTGACCTCCTAGTTCAGCAGTTCTCAACCTGTGGGTCGTGACCCCTTTGGAGGCCGAACGACCCTTTCACAGGGGTCGCCTAAGACCATCAGGAAACACATATATAATTACATATTGTTTTTGTGATTAATCACTATGCTTTAATTATGTTCAATTTGTAACAATGAAATTGGGGGGTCACTGCAACATGAGGAACTGTATTAAAGGGTCGAGGCATTAGGAAGGTTGAGAACCACTGTACCTAGTTCATAGGTAGATGCTCAACCACTGAGCCATGCGAGCCAGGCTCCAGCTGGCTACTTCCTTACTGTGGCTGCTAAGAAAGTTAATGTCCTGGTGTAGCCCACACCTATGGCAACACCCTGTTTCCTTTGATAGTCCTTCAGGGCCTGTTTTCTTGGCCGCAGGACTGGCTGTGTTCAGTCCGTCTGGGGTCCCGGCCTTCCTGCTCTGGTTTAACTCCTTGGCATCGCTCCTGCCCAGGCCAGAGGTCTCCTGACCCTAACCTCTGGTGCCACCTCAGATCCTTCCAGAAACAGGCAGTTGGGGAGGCCTTGCAGGAACAGGAGAGTTGAGGGCTCAGGTTCCATTGGCAGTTGGGCCAGAAATTCACGAAGTTCTGGTGAGGAAAAGAAGGTTCCAGAAGAGCCCCGGCTGCCTTGCCTACCTTGGTATTGTCTTGGAAGGAGGTGAGATATGAGGACCGGAGCTCATCCCTTCACACCCCATATGTCCCCCCAAGGTCTAGGGCTGACTTCCCTGCCTCCCCCAGGCACTCCCCTTCCCCCCCTGCAACCACCCTGGTTTCCAGCTCTGGGCAGCCACAGGATGCTAGGCCAGGGCCTCTTGGCAGTGGCCAAAGCCAAAAACAGTGGCTGCTGATGAAGCTGGGTCCAGTGAACCAGGTGCCAACCGGGGCCAGAGCCAGGAGGACAGTCCAGGGAGGGGCCTGCAGGGGGGTGTGATCCCCAGGTAGCTTCACAGCCTGGGGGCTCCCTCTGGCCTGACCAGACAGGACATTGTCCCATTTCTGCTGCCCAGTGCTGTGTCCTCAGGCAGGGAGTGCACCTCTGAGGCTGAGTTTCCGGCAGTGGAGCGATGAGAGCCGAGCCCTCTCTGGGCTGGGCTGTGTGACAGCAGGAGGAGACCCAGTGAGCTGGCTAGGCACACTCCGTGGCAGTCACACTGATTCTGGGCCCCTGTTACCCTAAGCTCCATCCAGGAACCAGCATCCCTGTCAGCCCAGAAGGCCAAGTGGCGAGCTCGAAGGTGCCTTCCTGCAGAGCTGGCTGATTGCAACTCCTCGTCCGGGGCTTCGCCCCCCTCTCAGCTAAGCACTATCACCCTGGAGGACCTGGGGCTCCTCCTGGAGGATGGGCTGGCCAGCCCCGAGCTCCTGAGTCTGGAGGAGATCTCAGAGAGGTATGAGCCCAGCTGCCTGGCGTCCACCACGTCCGTCCCAGAGCAGGACACCCCCAAGCGCTGGAAGCAGCTGGAGCAATGGTGAGCCCCGCGGGGGCGGAGTGGGAGAGCCACACATCAGCCCCAAGGCACGTGTGCCGACTCGGCCTGCTCCTCGTCCTGGCCAGGGTGGCCGACCTGCAGGCCGAGGTGGTGTCCCTACGGGGACACAAGGACTACTGTGAGCGTGCCACACTGAGCCTTCTCCAAGAGCTGCGCCAGGTGCAGGCCAGTGTGCAGCTGCAAGACTCGGAGCTGAAGAAGCTGAAGCAGGAGTTACAACAGGCAGCTTGGGTCCCTGAAAAGGAGGCCCTGGAGGTGAGACACCCACCTGCTGGGAGGCAGCTCATCCCCACCCACAGGCCGGGCTCCCCCATTCCCAGGGGTTGGGCAGCTGCTTCCTGGACCCTGAGCCCAGCTCAGTGCTGCTGCCCAGGCTGGGAGCCCGGAGAATCCCACAGGCTGTGTCTGTGCTGGTCAGGCTGTGAGGGCCCCAGGCCTACACTCAGCCCACACCCTCCTTCTTGCAGTTCCCCAGCCCCCAGAACCAGAACAAGATGCAGGCCCTGGACAAGAGGTATCCCCGTGCTCGTGGTGTCGGTCTCAGCAGGAGGGAAGGGGTTGGGGAGAGCAGTGGCTGGTGCCGGACCCCTCAGAGCATCAGCCCCAGGGTTTTGTTTTCCCAATTAGTTGTCTTGCCCCGGGAAGCAGTACATGTCCATGGCAGAACTCAAAAGGTCTGGTTTGTGTGAGCCTCGGCAGCCTACAGAGGCCTGGGAAAGGGGTGGGAGGCTTGCTGCTGGGCCCTTGGCTGGGCTTCCAGCCCCTGAAGGCTGCCCAGCCTGCTCTGGGCTTCTCCTGGCCACCAGGAGGGCAGCCGGGCAGGCCCCAGGCAGAAGCGGCTCTTGTGTGCCAGGTTGGTGGAGGTCCGGGAGGCCCTGACCCAGATCAGGAAGCAGCAGGCACTCCAGGACTCAGAGCGGAAGGGCACCAAGCAGGAAGCCAACCTCAGGTGGGCACCTCTCGCCTCCCTCCCCAGGGGCTGGTTCTGGACCTGCTGTGTGTGGCCGTGTGGGCGTCACCAAGGCAGGGAGGTGTTCACATACCCTCGGTGCCAAGCTGCGGTTGACAGGGAGCCTCAGACACCTTGTGGATCTTCTGTGGAAAAAAGAGACTTGAACTTGGGTCCCCAACCATCCCCTTTCCCACAGGTCCCTACCAGGGCCCAGCTCTCATCATGCCGGGGGGAGGGGCAGGGATGCCAGCGTCTTGCCCCCCTCTTTGTGTTTGCTCAGGTGAGCTATGCACCTCCGGATCCGCAGGCCTGTAGGTCAGCCTCGGGCCCCCAGTGCAGCTTTGGCCTGAGAAGGGCCCTGCCAGCTTCCCTGTGGCTCCCCTACTAACCCCTCCGGCTGGCCGGGTTGCTGTGACCTTTGGCCGGTGCCCTCAGGTTGACCAAGTTGGCCAGGAAGCTGGAACAAGAGGAGCAGAACCGGGAGGTGGCCTGCAGTGCCCTGCAGAGGAGCCAGGAGGAGGCCAGCCAGAAAGTGGACCAGGAGGTGGCCAGGCTGCAGGTACCAGGCAGGGCGGGCAGGCAGCTAGGCTGCCAGAGAGAGGGTCCGTCTGGAGGAAACCCCCACACGCCCAGCCCAGCCTGTGTCCTTCCCCTTACATGTTCCTCCCTCTCTCCAGCTATCTTTTCAGTTCCCTCCACGTGATCAGACTTGGGGGGTGCCCCAAGTCCTACGCTGTCTAATACAGTGGCCACTAGCCACAGGTGGCCCTGTATATTGAAATTAGCTAAATTTTTTTTATCCTCACCCAAGGATATTTTTTCCCATTGATTTTTACAGAGAGTGGAAGGGAGAGGGAGAGACAGAGAGAAACACTGATGTGAGAGAGACACATTTGCCTCCCACATGTCCCCTACCAGGGCCAGGAGCCTGCAACCGAGGTACGTGCCCTTGATCGGAATCTAACCCCAGACCCTTCAGTTCGCAGGCTGACGTTCTATCCACTGAGCCAAACCGTCTAGGGTGAAATTAGTTAACATTTTATTTTATTTTTTATTTTTTTTAATATTGATTTTTTACAGAGAGGAAGGGAGAAGGATAGAGAGTCAGAAACATCGATGAGAGAGATCAATCAGCTGCCTCCTGCACGCCCCCCACTGGGGATGTGCCAGAAACCAAGGTACATGCCCTTGACTGGAATCGAACCCCGGACCCCTCAGTCCGCAAGCCGATGCTCTATCCACTGAGCCAAACCGGTCTGGCATTAGTTAACATTTTAGACAATTTAAAACTCGGTTCCTCCATCATGTGAACCAAATTTTAAATGCTCAGCGGCCACGTGTGGCCAGTGGCTGCAGATGGGGCTGCACGGAGATGGAGCGCCTTCATCACAGAAAGTGTCGTTAGCACCATCTCAGCTACCGCTCCTCCTCCCCTTCCTGTGCAACCAGCACCCAAATCAAGAAACAACCTCAAAGCCCGAAGCCCCTTCCTCGGCCGTTTTCAACCTTGGTGCTCCCCTCA